GTGCGGTCTCGTCTATGCTAACTGTAATATTGAGCTTCTTTGGCTTCTTGTTTCCAGAACGAGTCCAATAATTTATCGCATCCAAGAATTTAGCCAAATGAGAGCTCCATCCCTTAATAATATCTCTTAAATCAGCCAATGATATGTAATTTATCATGCTGTCATATACTATTGCCTTAAGGGATGGGAACTGAAGCTCGACGAGAAGCCAATGTTTATTCCAAAACAGAGATAACACCTGCAATCATAAGTAATAATTCATTCATTTGCGCACTTATTTATGAATACCTTTAAACTCAATCTAAAATAAATACTAACCTTATCGACCTCCCACCATGCAGGATAAAGTTTAGCTTGTCCATTGCCCAACGCAAATGATTCATCTCGTTGATTCTTCAAGTGAACGGCGTTAAAAGACGTCGGCATAATTGTATATCGTGTATTTCTTTTATTTTCCTTAAGTTTCCTAATTATTAGAAGACGTGACACCCACGCATCGATATGTTGTTTTACAAAAAAAGACATATATTAGTAACTTACATAAATTTAAAAAAAAAAATCAAATTGAAATATAAGAAAAATATAAGACTTACCCCTCCATCGAAATAGCCATTGTCTTCGACCCCTAATAATGTCCCACCAAGACGATCAAGCAACAAATAGATATCATCGTTGAGCTTGCATATGTCAGTGAAACACCCCTGGCTCCGCTCATGTAGATAAAAATCAACTGCGGTCTTAGCCCAAAGGGTGTTATCCAGAATTATGTCCGATAGTTGTCTCCTCTCCACTTCAGATACCGGAATGGTACTAGCCGGTAACTCATACGAGAGCCAACTATCATCCATCATGTCCGGCACGTCAGAGGGTTTCTCAAGAATCTTACATATGACGCCATGTGAATCGGGCTCTTGAATGGTGGGAGGGACCTCTTCAACGATGACAGTGACCTCTTGAACGGTGGGAGGGGACTCTCGAGGAATGATAGGGGCCTCTTCAACGATAGGAGTGGACTCTTGAGGGATGACAGGTGAGTCGGGCTTCTTCTTGCGGTGTCTTCACACTATTGGGGTGTACGGAGACTTAATAGCACGTGCACGCCGTCTGATGCGTGAACTCTGTCGTGCAAGAAAAACCCGACGTAAAGCATCCACCTTATCGGGCCGCTAAATAATTAAATACAAAAATCAGTAAATAAACAGACATGATATTTAAACAGTGAAAACAAAGACAAATATATTTCAAACTTGCATTGAATTCACCCAAGTCATTATTCTATCATTGTTCACAAAATGCATCAGATAACAAAGACAAATATGTTTCAAACTTGCAACACTGTCAACTTAGTATTTGTCTTTGTCTATTGGTTGAAGTAATGCAATTCATTCAAGTTTCAATTTGCAGAAGAAGAATAGTTTCTGTAACTTAAAATCGCAACGTTAAAAATGACTATCGCAACGCAAAATGAAAATCGCAACGAGAGAATCGTAATGCGAAATGAAAATCGCAACGCGATTATAGTTTCGCGTTGCGATTTTCATTTCGCGTTGCGATTCTCTCGTTGCGATTTTCGTTTCGCGTTGCGATTTTCATTTCAACCAAAAGACAAAACAGTGTTGCTAAAATATAGTTTCAAGAATAAACTATTTCTTCTTCTTCTGCAAATTGAAACTTGAATGGATTGCATTACTTCAACCAAAAGACAAATACTAACTTCAGAGTATTAAAGAATATACAGTTTAGCAGAATTGGCAGCAAACGAACAAATTTACTTTCAACCAAAAGACAAAACAAAGACAAATACTAACTTCACAGTGTTAAAGAATACACAGTTTAGCAGAATTGGCAGCAACCGAACAAATTTACTTTCAACCAAAAGACAAAACAAAGACAAATACTAACTTCACAGTGTTAAAGAATACACAGTTTAGCAGAATTGGCAGCAACCGAATAAATTTACTTCAACCAAAAGACAACAAAAGACAAATACTAACTTCACAGTGTTAATAAACAGTTTATCAGTATTGGCAGCAACCGAATAAATTTACTAAGCAATCTAAGTGAAATGGTTAATCTAAGTGAAATTATGAGTAAATTTATCATCAAGTTAAATATGGAAAATCTTAAACTTACCTCGTTGCGTAGAGTATGAACCTCATTCTGCAATGATACTACCATCTCACGTAGAGCGGCAACCTCACCACGTAAAGTAGACACCTCCACACGCCATGCACCATCGTTATCGCGTAGAGTACCGATCTCCTCACGCAAGGCATTGACCTCATCACGTAACTCCCTTGACTCATCCCGTGGAGGTGGAGAATAGAGAGATAGAAGTCGTGGCATCTTTGCCGGTCGCCTATCATGAGGTGATGGTGGAGAAGAGGCTCGATGATGTGACGGGATAGGTGATGGCTCTTGTTGTAGAGGTGTATAGTCGGGTCGATCAGGTGATGGCTCTGGGTGAGGTGATGGCTCTCGAAGTGGAGGAAGTGGAGGCTGCTTATAATTCGTGCCATCAAGAAAACGCTGACTAGCTTGCCACCAATCAGTGGCAAGCTCAGCCTCCGTGGGTGTCAGTCTCATTAATGGAGTGTTGGCCTCCTAAAAATATAAAAACTCAAACAAAGTTAAACGTCTACTATTAATAACTTGTTTATATATGATAGTATTTGTGTTAACTTACATTATTTATTGTCGCATATGGTATTAAGTCTTCCCAATCCAACAGACGTTTCCTCTTCCAGGAAATAGCCCTAGGAATATCATTTGAAGTTTTTAATGCATATGTCTGCATGCTGGGGAAAACCTCGAATATCTAAATCTACAAACAATATAATAATAAACATTATATAGAAATTCTTACCTTAAAGGCCCAAACAAAGCCTGACAAAGTGTATTTTGACCCATCGCCACGTAAACTTTTGCGGTCATCAAAGGCATACGACAACTTAGTCCAGGTAGCTTTCCATATATACGAACCCCACGGAAACAGATTCCATGCATTTAGGTCCTCTACCAATAATATTAGCTCCTGAGGAATAGGTTGTCTGGCCTCTCTGCCTAAAAAGCTGGCATACAAAAGTACTAGAAGGCATACTTGGACAACATCGACGTCATTCATCCGAGTAAAACCATCTTTCTTATTAAACAATTTCTTCAGGTCGTCGACGTGTAAGTTTGGCTTCTTTATTGACTCATCAGGAAAACCCTAGATAACCATGATGGGCGGGTGATATGACGAGTGTACCGGCCTACATCATCGTGTCCGAATCATAGACCAGTGATTAAGCAGAACTCCTTCCGCCCAAAACAAGTATATGCCGATGGAAAATGAAACCATATCTCTTCCTCACCACGTTGTATACTGTCGGGTAGATCGCTAGTCATGGTCTGAAGCCACAAATGGGTCAAATTAGCATCTCCACCCGGATGTTGTACTCTCAGCCATGGCCCGAAGCAGGTTTCCTCAAACAATTTTCTTTGTGTAGGTGAAAGCTTCGAAGCAATTGTAGTGGCTAGGCTAACTTTATTCCTTAATGTCAATGAAGCCGAAAAAAATTTCTACAAAAACAATAAACATACCAAGTTAGATATACCAAAAACTACACTGTGAAGATATACCAAAAATAATAAACATAAATAGTAGTTTATTCTTGAAACTAAAATTTGCAACACTGTTTTGTCTTTTGGTTGAAATGAAAATCGCAACGAGAGAATGAAAATCGCAACGCGGAAATGACTATCGCAACGAGAGAATCACAACGCGAAATGAAAATCGCAACGAGAGAATCACAACGCGAAATTAATCGCAACGAGAGAATCGCAACGCGAAATGAAAATCGCAATGCGATTTTGGTTTCGCGTTGCAATTTTCATTTCGCGTTGCGATTCTCTCATTGCGATTTTCATTTCTCTCGTTGCGATAGTCATTTTCGTGTTGCGATTTTCATTTTCATGTTGCGATTTTAAGTTTAGAAACTATTCTTCTTCTGCATTACTTCAACCAAAAGACAAAACAAAGACAAATACTAACTTCACAGGGTTAAAGACTAAACAGTTTAGCAGTATTGGCAGCAATCGAATGAATTTAATAAGAAATCTAAGTGAAATGGTTAATCTATTATTGAAATTACCAGTAAACTTATCATCAATTTCAATATGAAAAACCTAAAATAATGCAAAAATTTCAAAATAAAAATAATTAAAAAAACTAACCCTCGGAGGTTGATTTTCCATTTCTGAATGATTGTGAGGGATTTTTGATCGTGAATGGTTGTGAGGGATTTCGCCGGAGATGGGGACGGAAATCTTCGGAGATGGGGACGGATTTTGCCATAGAGAGTGAGAGATGGAGATGGGACTGAGTTGTGATCTTAGGTTTTAGGTTATGAGTTGTGATTACGGGATATACTGTGGACGGTTCAGTTTCTGATATATTAATATATTCGTGTTTGGAATTTGAAAAAAAAATACGCATTAATACGAATGGCGCTATGTAAATCGCATTGCGATAGTCAGATTCGCATTGCGATAGTCAGATTCGCATTGCGATTTACGTATTCGTATTGCGATTTTCCTAATTTGCATTGCGATTTACGTAATCGCATTGCGATTTACGTATTCGCATTGCGATTTTCCTAATTCGCATTGCGATTTACGTAATCGCGTTGCGATTTACGTATTCGCATTGCGAATTAGGAAAATCGCAACGCGAATTTGGGAAATCGCAATGCGATAGTCAGAATCGCGTTGCGAATCTGGAAACTGATTTGCGATACCAGAGATCGCGTTGCGAATTATTGATCGCATTGCGATTTAGTTGGTCATTTTGGCAAATCCAAAAAAAGTTGGTTAAAATCGTATATTATAAGGCATTTTTGGTCACTGATGTTATTTTCTCTTTTTAATAATATGTGAACTCAACAAAGTAACACCCTATAGTCAGAGACCATTTGTACTCTTAATTTAAACTATACCACTTTCAATGGTGAAAATTGCAGCACAACTTCTACCATCTTAGAGACTACAACTGCAAATGGTTCAAATGTTTTTGGTGCTGTGCCTTCACACCCATACCCATCAACTGCCTCCGCCACCAAATTGAATCCCATGGAATCTATTTTCATCACCATGGCATGCCTCATTTTGCTGCTGCCTAGATATTACCAATAGAATCGATCAAGTCCATGTGATTCGGGTTTTTCTTTGGATTTTTTTAACGCATATTATGTTTGAGCATGAGTATAATAATTTAGTCTTATAGAGAGTATAGTTGCTGTCTCTTTTGTATTTATATAATAATTATAGTTTATCTTTTATACTAAAAAAAGGTAAACTATTGAATCAGTCGTGTTCTTATTATGTTTGTACATTTTTACTCACCAAATTCAAAAAACTAGAGTTTTGGTCACTTATGTTGTCAATTATTAATTTTTTATCATTTCGTTGTTAACTCCTGTTAGCTTGATGATGGGGCAAGTTAGTTAAAAGAAGTTAATTTTTAATTTTACCCTTGAACGTTAGATTCAATACTAGTTAGACCTTGAAATTTATGTGAAGTATTAATTGACCTTAAACTTTAGGTAAAATATCAACTTGTGCCATGAATTCGATTAAAGTCTCTCGTCGCCACCACAACTCACTACTATCAGTGTCGATCGCAACCAATTGTCATCGATCGTCGTCGTTGATTGTTAGACCCCAAAATTTATTGTTCGGTCATTTTTTATATTGTCAACATCAATTTAATTTCCGTTCATCAGAAAATATCTTTAAGTCTATAAATTTGACCTACCCTTCGACTTCTTTTAAAATTAACTAAAATAATAGATTTATATTTAATATTCCTTTAAAAATAAGTACATCCAAACCTAAATGTATACCATAGTTAAATCCATAAAGTTTTTGTTTATAGTGTTTTTATGTTATAATTTTTTTATTATATGTATAATATTAATTATATTTTTCTTACTATTTGTAAGTATTAAAGATGTAACATATAAAACAAATATATAATTAATATTATAAATATAATGAAAATAATATATAATATTATAAAAAATTATACATTTCATTATGATATAAATTTATAGTTTTAGTATTTCTATTTTTAAATAAATATTAATAATAAATTTTTTATTATGGTTTAATTTGAAAGTTTCATATATTTTCTTGTGAAACGAACACTATATTCACATTTCGATTCTTAGAAATATGTGAACTGTAAATTTTGAGGTCTAATAGTCAACTACAATGGTGGTTAATGCCAACTGATAGTGACTGATAGCGACGATGGTGAGTGGTAATGACAATGGGAGACTTTGGTCGAATTTAGGGGTTAATTTGATATTTTATCTAAAATTAAGGATTAAATTAATATTATATCTAAAGTTCAGGGTAAAATTAAAAATTAACTTCTTTTGACTATCTTGTCACATGATCAAACTAACAAGAATTAATAATTCAATGACTAAAATATAATAATCGATAACGTAAGTGAGCAAAACTTAATAAATTGATAGTGTAAGTGAATAAACTAAAGCATTAACATTCTCTTGAATAACAAAATTGGAGATTTAATTTAACCCAAAAATTTACATAAAATATTATTTTAAACCATAGTTTTTTTTAAAAAATATCAGTTTAAACATTGAACTTTAGATAAAATATAAATTAAACCTTTGAATTGACCAAAATTCTTCGATGATGATCGTTCTTTACCACAATCGTGGTTCATCATCAGTTGTTGTTGCCAATGATCGTTGGATCCTAAAATTTTTCATTCACTCCTCTGACATAAATTTGATATATGTCTCATCAAAAAAAAATCACGAACTCAACAAATCTACTTTAAATCTCGACTTCCTTTAAAACTAAACCATAATAATACTATTGAGCTTTATTTTTATAACTATAGAATTGGATGATGATGAAAATGAAAAAACCATATTGTTCTAAAACTCATATTTCTTAAGTATTTTATATATAGGGAGTTTTAAAACACCTAAATAAACTAAAAGATAATCTAAGTCACTATAGTGATTAGTTTTGTTATGATTAGAGGTGGACCTAGGGGTGGGTGGGGCAGTCGTCCCTCTGAAAATTTAAAATTATTATATATTTTAATTTTTTTATGTATTTTCTGTTAAAATATGTTTTCGCCCCTCCCCAAACACCAGCACGTTATGGTCAAGATCTAAGTCAACATTTAGGAGTTGATTGGGGATGTATGTTGGCTAATTTGGGAGATTAATTAATCTCTTTGTGCAAATTGGACTTTGTCAAAAATAAACTGGTAGAGATCTCAATTGGCACCAGCATTCCGAACTGAGACACCGAAATACATATCCAGACTGAAACTATCAAAAAATTGAGACGATAACAAATTGCATTCCTTAATCAGAGTTTGTATTGGGCAAAAATAAGATCTTCATTTTCTATTTCTTTACCATGTTTCCCAAGTAAAGTCTCAAGAATAAATTCAATATTAGTAGTTTGCTGGGTAACAGTCTTTACATATAGAATTAAGTCATCTGTTAAGAAAAAAAATGAGAGATTGATGTGTCATTACGGATAAGTTTAAATGTCGATTTGCTTCCAGATACCAAAGAGAGGGAAGTACTTTAACTCGGTCTTTTCACAGTCAAATTAAAAAGATAAGACGATAAGGGATCACTTTGAACAGAAGCCAAATTTGCTAGGCGATCCGTACACTTGTTACCCTCGCGCCAAATGTGTCTAATCTCACTAACCACCCCTCTCATAAGTTCTCTACAGTCGTGTATTAGGGTGTCTTTGACGCTTTTTCTGTGTTTCCATCGTTCAACACTTCTACGGCCCTTTCGGCGTCGATTTTCATGATCAAGTTGGTTATATGCATGGATTTCGCAAGCATAAGACCTTGTACGTTATCCCCCATAGCTCGGAAGCAACACTGTTTGTTCTTCCTATTTTCAACATGAATCCTCCCATCCGTTATCCGTTGTCATCCCTGATCAATCCGCTCATCGTTGTGAGACCGGTCCTCATTTTGTATACTCCTTATGTATTTAGAATTTGTAACCTACCATAGTTTCCTCCATTTAACCCAAAAAGGTTTCTTCGTTAATAAATTGTGGTTTTTGGATAGGGTCATACTTATCTCTCTAGCCAATTTCTGATCTTAAATAACCACACGGTTATGGTTTTCTTCTATCTTCTAAAGTTTTTCCATTCTTATGTTTCCATAAACCCCATATAACCGTTTAGAAGATAGTAACCCAGCTCATGCCCTCTGTGTTTTCCTTTCTCGAGCAACAATTAATTTTTCATCCAATCCTTAAAGGCTTCATTTTTCATCATATGTAACTTGGACCTTCGCTTCATCTCTCCATACTTGTGCTATTCGACACTTTCTAAGGACGTGTACAATGGGTTCTGGCACTTCCTAACAAGCTTTACCGCTCTGGTCTTGGGTCATATTTTTTCTTACACAAATCTCATTTGTATTTAACTTGTCTAGCATGCATAACAATATGAAGAAGCGGATCCTTTCTGTTGTAGCCACTCTCCAGATCCAACTTAAGTTTTCTAACGAGTGTTCTGGTGTTTCCATTAAAGTGGTTTCTTTGGCAGTAGAAGCCATTGTGAATTTACCCTCTTTTGACAGACCCCAGCAGGCTTTATCGTGTCTCCTTTCATAGTTACCCATTAGTAAAGGGGTGCCTTGGATTTTTTTCTTTAGTTTCTTCTAAGATGATCCCTTGTAAGCTGTGAAGGTCCTATGTTCCCTCCCTCATAATATTACAACTCATCCTCTCATTTCTAGTTCTTGTGTCCATTGTATGATACGATACTGCTAAAGAGGCATCTCCTACCCACCAATCATGCCAAAACTGGGTTTTATCTCCAGATCGGATCTTCCATTTACATCCACGCTTTATAATTTTCTGTGTACTCAGGATTCTTCTCCAAATAGCAGAGCTTTTGGCGTAATTTTGAAAATCCATAAAGTTGGTTTGCTTCAAATATTTTTCCCCAAGGATTTTCCAGCAAATGGCGTCATGTCTATTGTGCAGTCTCCAGCCATTCTTAGCCATTAGGGCAAGGTTCATGACCCTCGTTCTGTGAAGCTGGAGATCACCGTGTTCTTTGGGTTTGCAGACTTTTTCCCAACTAACCAAGTGGTTATAAGCAATAATCTGCTCCTCCGCCCCCAAAGAAAATTGCGTTTTAAACTGTCGAGTTTATTGCAAACGGCCAATAGAAATATCACGTCATGAGTTCTATTTGATTTTAGTGATGAGTCATCAAAACGAAATAAAAACATAAATTTTAATTATGATTTAAAAAATATTTTTTTTTTGAAATAAGTTAAAAAAAAAAAAAAAGATTGCATGATGTGGTGCCTATTTGTAACCCAAAAGAGTGTTGCCAAGCAAGCAAGCGGCGAACCAAACCACTTCTTTCCCAGCGGTGCATTTAAATACGCTTAATTGCACTCCATTCCTGCTTGTTTGTCCCAATAATTTCTTCTTCTTCACAAAAGAAAAGAAAAAAGGATCCCTCCATTGATACAGAGCTTCAGGTTTGATGCTATTATCTTTTTATTTCTTACGCCACCCTTTGGTTTTAGATTGATAAATGTTGGGTTTTTCTTTCTCATTCACGTTATATAGTTTGTATTTCTTTTTAAAGTTATCGTTTAATTTCTTCAACTGATTACTATTTATTCTGTGTATAATCTGTTCTGTGTTTGATTTTCATTATAATATTCTTGATACCGGGAAGTCTAACTGTGTAATTGATATGGGTATATCTTATTACACTAATGTTATAAATAATGTATGTATGTACGTACGTACTGTGTCCGTATGTATGTATGTATGTATGTATGTATGTATGTATGTATGTATGTATGTATGTATGTATGTATGTATGTATGTATTCACTGAACATTGAATTCTGATATAAAAGTAGTAGTTAAAACAAGAGTTTGTTAACTAAAATACCAAAAATTTTGTTGCACTTGCACTGGGATTTAAGGGAAAACTAATGGAGTGGCTGACAGTGTTCTTTGAGGAAAGAAGGTGCCAATTAAATGCATAATTCAGTGGAATGATAATTACAATACTAGTTGTCTAATGGAATGCTAATTTGTTTTGCAGAGTTGAGAATGCAAGATGAATAAAAGA